TACTCATGTTTCTGATACAGCTTTCAGTAGTTTTTGAAGCTGAAATGAATTTGACTTGCAGTATCAAGGAGGCCTAGCTATGGCCATACTACTGCTCATTCTTGAGAAACCGGCTTCCTCAAGCAGATTATGAAGTCAGCATTCCAAATGCCCAAAAGGCAGTACAAAAGGGCTTTAGCTGCAAGAATTTATAGCACTCTTCGTTTTTGTTTTGTTTTGTTTTGTGGTGGTTTTTTTGTTTTTTGGGGGTTTTTTTGTTTACAAAAACTGTGCTTTGGTTTGCTTAATTAGCCCAGAGATTCAGTACATCAGCTTTCCATGCATGTGTTTTTTGTTGGTTTTGAAGGGTTTTTTTAAGCATTTATTAGAGTTTATCTCTGTAGCACGAGCAGTGGGAAGAGTGAGAAGAGTGTTAGACCACTTAACAGCAGTGGTGACAAAGAGATGGAAGGTTGTGGTCCTTTGAGTTAGGAAAGACATGGAGAGGGGTGGCATCAGGATAATCTGTGTTTATCAGGCATAGTTTGAATATAACATCAGACTGAAACCTGGGACAGTCATTGCTGCTAATGTTGAAATTGGACCAGACCTCTGCTCGTGGTACAGGTGTTCAGAATCACATGTTTGCTGTAGAGTCAGAAGCAAATACAAGGCTTTTACACTGTGCTTGTTTACATCTGCAGAATGATCCCAGGAGACTGATTGTTTAGGTATACAAATGAACTATTTTATTCCTTGCTGCTTAAGCACCAAAGCTGTGTAGTTGCTTAGAACCAGGCCTTGATAAGGGAAGCTGTTTGAATAAGTATTTTATTTTAAAGTATTAAAGCTGGGAAATATTACAAATATTCAGCGAATGGTTATTCCATGCACTTCAGATGAACTATTCCTTAAGTGGAGCCAATATTCAGAAATTATGTATTAAATGTAGAAGCTGAAGTTTTACTTGAGGAAATTGCAACTGATTTTAAAAACTGTAGCAACTTCTTAATTGTGGATAAGTTGACTGAGAATGAAGGAGAAGGAAGTTGTTTAAAATGTTTTTCTCTTCCTTCTTCCCCTAGGTGGCTGATGATGGTTATGGTGTTTCTTACATGATCTTGGGTGAAAATTTCATTCATTTCCATGTCTCCAGCAAAGTATCTTGTTCTGAGACGGTAAGAGTCAGTCCTTTCCTATAGTTTAATAAATCTCTTCTGCTGGGTGCTTATAGATTCGTTCTTCTCATTGTCTAAAATATATAGTAGAACTTGCAACCTACTGTTATGAGGTGTATTTTTCTTTCTCAATATATGGTGTTCTGCTGGAGTTTTTTTGTCTCCAGTTGTATAAATTTAATTGTTTCATGAACCAAGGGTACCATATTCCATTTCACTTATGCTTTCAAACATAAAGAAAATATTTGGCCCAGGATCATCTTTATGCATGTGCAGTTCCCTGCAACTCATGTGAAATGACCACATGTGTCCCCTAAACAGAAAGATGGGCATATCTTGGTTTTTCTTATTACAGTTTTGATTGGTTTGTCTCAGGCTACATCTGTAAAGACAAAATAAAATGTATGCTATCTATTTNTTTGTCAGAACCTTGGAGGCTGTCAACAAGTCAGACACCACAGCAGTACATTGATCTGAAGAAGAACCCAGAAATGTTAGCCTCTGGTGGAGGGTTTGGGCCGGTATGTTTCCTAAAAACAAGTACCCACTAAAAAGAGTTTTACTTTCAAGACACCTGTCAAAAAATTTCAAATCTATCATCCCTCATTGTTGCATATCAAAGGTGCAGTTCATGCTTTTAATTGCATGTGTTTAATATTAATACTTTCCTGTGATGTGGCTGTGCTCTGAAAAATCTACAAGATTATCCCACTACAAGAATAGATTATTATTATTATTATTAAGGAAATATACAGTTATAAAATGTGGTACAGGGCTACATGGCAAAAAGATCTGATGAAATTTGGGTTCTTATCACATTGCCTGTGCCCAGATCTTCTGTACATCAGGCTGATATTACAGTAACAGTCACCTTATTACTTAAACTAGATTTTAAGGTTGGGATTTGTAAAAGTATTTACACTTGACTTGTTCTTTATATTTCCTGCTTGACTGATAAATGTGTTCATACATTCCTCCAGATTAAGCTGCTCACATTGTTCTGCTTGCCCCTCCTAAGTGTGAAAAAGGGCCAGGTCAAAAATACAGCCATGTTCTATGACTTCTGTAGACTTCCAAGAAACCAGTGTATTGTTAGAGGTTTGACAAGCTGCTTACTTGCTGCCATATTTTATTGATATTTAAGCTTGGCCACTGATAAGAATATTGGTGTCAACAAGACCTCTTAAGCAGCCTTTATGGGGCTCTTATACTAGATTAATCTGTTTTCAGAAAGTGTTTCTATTGAAGGAACAATGAGAGGCATCACAGGACTGCTCTTTGCCCCCCAGAAGTTAGGGTGACAAGTCCAGTGTATTTTAGCTGGTTTGTCAAGCTGGAAGGTGGGGTGTGTTAAATTGTTGTTGTTTATTTACTCATGTTTCTGATACAGCTTTCAGTAGTTTTTGAAGCTGAAATGAATTTGACTTGCAGTATCAAGGAGGCCTAGCTATGGCCATACTGCTCATTCTTGAGAAACTGGCTTCCTCAAGCAGATTATGAAGTCAGCATTCCAAATGCCCAAAAGGCAGTACAAAAGGGCTTTACCTGCAAGAATTTATAGCACTCTTTTCGTTTTTGTTTTGTTTTGTTTTGTGGTGGGTTTTTTTTTTTTTGTTTTTTGGGGTTTTTTTTTGTTTACAAAAACTGTGCTTTGGTTTGCTTAATTAGCCCAGAGATTCAGTACATCAGCTTTCCATGCATGTGTTTTTTGTTGGTTTTGAAGGGTTTTTTTAAGCATTTATTAGAGTTTATCTCTGTAGCACGAGCAGTGGGAAGAGTGAGAAGAGTGTTAGACCACTTAACAGCAGTGGTGACAAAGAGATGGAAGGTTGTGGTCCTTTGAGTTAGGAAAGACATGGAGAGGGGTGGCATCAGGATAATCTGTGTTTATCAGGCATAGTTTGAATATAACATCAGACTGAAACCTGGGACAGTCATTGCTGCTAATGTTGAAATTGGACCAGACCTCTGCTCGTGGTACAGGTGTTCAGAATCACATGTTTGCTGTAGAGTCAGAAGCAAATACAAGGCTTTTACACTGTGCTTGTTTACATCTGCAGAATGATCCCAGGAGACTGATTGTTTAGGTATACAAATGAACTATTTTATTCCTTGCTGCTTAAGCACCAAAGCTGTGTAGTTGCTTAGAACCAGGCCTTGATAAGGGAAGCTGTTTGAATAAGTATTTTATTTTAAAGTATTAAAGCTGGGAAATATTACAAATATTCAGCGAATGGTTATTCCATGCACTTCAGATGAACTATTCCTTAAGTGGAGCCAATATTCAGAAATTATGTATTAAATGTAGAAGCTGAAGTTTTACTTGAGGAAATTGCAACTGATTTTAAAAACTGTAGCAACTTCTTAATTGTGGATAAGTTGACTGAGAATGAAGGAGAAGGAAGTTGTTTAAAATGTTTTTCTCTTCCTTCTTCCCCTAGGTGGCTGATGATGGTTATGGTGTTTCTTACATGATCTTGGGTGAAAATTTCATTCATTTCCATGTCTCCAGCAAAATATCTTGTTCTGAGACGGTAAGAGTCAGTCCTTTCCTATAGTTTAATAAATCTCTTCTGCTGGGTGCTTATAGATTCGTTCTTCTCATTGTCTAAAATATATAGTAGAACTTGCAACCTACTGTTATGAGGTGTATTTTTCTTTCTCAATATATGGTGTTCTGCTGGAGTTTTTTTGTCTCCAGTTGTATAAATTTAATTGTTTCATGAACCAAGGGTACCATATTCCATTTCACTTATGCTTTCAAACATAAAGAAAATATTTGGCCCAGGATCATCTTTATGCATGTGCAGTTCCCTGCAACTCATGTGAAATGACCACATGTGTCCCCTAAACAGAAAGATGGGCATATCTTGGTTTTTCTTATTACAGTTTTGATTGGTTTGTCTCAGGCTACATCTGTAAAGACAAAATAAAATGTATGCTATCTATTTAAGCCTTCCTGGTTTAAATAATACTGAATGAAGCTGACCCATAAATTACAATCCGTGCTTAAGAAACGTAACTAATCAAAAATTTATTAAAATAACACCCAATATTAGAGTATAGTAGGTGTCATATGTTGAATATCCTGCTGTTGTGGAGGTGTGCTTTGAGTTCAATTAATCCTTGCCCTTTATATTGTTATGGCCTTCCTAAATATACTGATTTCATTCAGGATTACATAGCTGACCTAGTTTTCCTCTTTTGACCTTGTCCAGGAGATCATGGTGCTTCTGGTTAATCTTTAAAGATTAGGAAATACAACTTTGTTTTTTTAATAGTTGAAATTGTTCTTCAGATGCCTGTTAGCTCGTACTTTAAATTTCGCTCTGTTCTTTTTACTTATTAATCGAGTCAAAAGTCCATACAGAAAAGGCAGTATTTTATGTGTGTGGCCTTGATATTAGTAGGGTCATTGTAGTAGATCCCTGTAATGCAGGTAATAATTTAAATTTGGAATATGAATTTCTTTCTTGTACCATTCACCTAGCACTTAGAATAAACAGAACAAGTGTCTGTTTTGTTTACACTTAGAAAGTTGTTATTTTCATTTTCAATACTTTCTTCAATGGCAAATGATTCAGCATTTCTGATAGGAACTCAAATAAAAATAATTTTTCTGCTCTTTCAATACTTCTTGGCCATTACTCATACACTCACTGAACATTCCCTTGTTTTATGAAAATAAGCTTTTGCAAAATTTTGTTGGAAAAGCAGTATCAAAACCCAGCAATTTTAGAGCAGCAGAAAGCTATGCATGCATCTGATTTTAAAAGGATATGATCTCATTTGTGACTGTAGGAAAGTAAATGCATAATGAAGAACTCATTGGTCAGTGACAGCATGAACCTGGATTAATCTGTATAGTGTTAAAATTTCTGTTATAAAAATCCCCATTCTATGGTAAAATACATGCTTGAATTCCATAAGCTCCAAAACTACAAAATATTAGAAAGTTTTTCCTTTTGCCTGAAAAACAACTGTTGATGGGCAGTACAAGTATTTGGTTTTTGTTTGTTTGTTTTTAAAGGATTCTCATCGTTTTGGAAAGAACATCCAGAAAGCAATGGTTGACATCATGGGTTTATTTAACCTTAGTAAAAACTGTACAAAGTGATCTGCTTTCCTGGTGCCAAGCAAGCTCCTCTTGGTGGGATGAGAACTCTTCTGCACAGGGAACAAGAGCAAGGTTTGTCGAAGAGTAGCTGGAGAAGAAACTGAGTCATCACCTTCTTGATCACCTATTAAAGCCTTAGCAGTATATTAAATGTGTCTTTTTTTGTTGTGGTTTGTTTTTGGGGTTTTTTTTTGTCAGTAGTATGGAAGAGCTTATTTCTACAAAGGATGACTTTTAAAATTTTCTATGTTTCTAGGGAGGAAGCATAGTATCATTGCATGAAGTCATGTATATTCTAACTTCTGCAGTTTTCTCTTAATTTGCATACACTTTCTCTCTTTTTTTTTTTTTTTTACTTTAAATTAATTTACTTGTTTCCAGAATCAAAGGGATAAAACACACCGACTTAAATACTAGAAAAAGTTAGATTTGCTATGTATTAATAGCAGGATATTCTTCAATGTATCAATGCTGCTTAATGTAAATGAGTGACAAACTTGTGGCCATTTGCCTTCCTTGGTTTCTTTTTAGAGGTAAATTGTGTAAAACATACCAAAAAATCCCTGCTGTAACCTACCTTAACACACTAAGTTGGGGAAATTTTATGGTTTTTGCAAAGAAGGAAAAAAAAAAAAAGAAACCCAACTACTGGATAGTACAAAGTGTCCCCTCATTAGAAAGTATCACATTTTTCTTACTGCTTACAAGACTGTTCATGATGTTGATTTTATTTCTGTATAAATAAATGGACCTGTGTGCTTGTTCATGCAAGTGCCTTAGAAAAACAAAGATCCTTAGCCCAGGAAAAAGGCACATGCTGGCAGTTGTTTCAGTGGTAAGAGAGGTAAAGCTGTAGTAATGCAGACCTGGTTTTCAAATTGCAAAATAGGATGAAGCGGCATAAGCAGATGTGAATATGTTGCCAATAGTGCAGTCAGGTTTGAAGCTCTAATGAAATGCTCTAAATTTATAATGAATTGCTTAAATAGCAAAGGTCGCTCCTTGGGAAGGGCAGGACTAACTTTGTTTGGAATTAACAGATATTCACGTTTGCTTTGGTGAATGGAATTGGTGTCACTCGGGTTTCTGGGTGCTGGGAAATGTTAACAGGGTTGGATGCAACGTGGTGGAAAGTCTGCAAAGCAAGGCTGCCTGTGTAGGCTGATGGATTGCAGTTTGCCTGCTTTCAGCCTGGAAGGACCACTACTGCAGTGCCAGCCATCTGCATGAGAAGGGCAAACTGCTAAAGCCATGGGAAATAGCTCCAGAGTGAGAAAATCATGGCCTTCTCAACCCTCTCCTGGGAGATGCTCTTGGTCAAGCAGTTTCTAGAGGATACCGGTAGGGAGGGGAAAGCTTTTGCACTCAAAAAGGAACATGATGTTTCCAAGTGCAGAAATAAAATGGCTGCTACCAAATGGAGTAATTTTTGCATGATGCTTCTCTGCCCTGGGCTTTATAGGTGTGGTACCTCTTTTACATCCTGCAGTGCAGTAAAGTATACTTGTTAGTACAACCATTTTTTTTGTTATTATTATTTTATATAAGGTACATGATGGTTACTAATACAGTGCATGATGCTCCCGAGCTCTGCTGAGTTTGAAAAACCCTTGGAGCGGATATAAACCTTCTCATTAGACTTCAAAAGTTTCTGGCCAGTATTTCTAACTTTCTCCTTTTGTTTATTTTTACTCTGATTTTTAGCTATTAAAACACCTGTGTATGTATGCTTGGAGTGGGAACCCTCAAAAATCCAAGATGCATACTTAAGCGACTGCATGCTTACATAAATGTGGGAATCCTCACAGGAACTGATTAAAGACACTCATTATTTGATTAGGGTACAGTGTGTGGGAAAGGACACTTTGAAATAAGCCTTACTGCATCTGGCAGGCCTGGCACTTATCAAGCTACTGCAACAAATTTATAGTGATCTATTTTTGGAGATGCAGAAATAATGCACTGGGGTTTCTGGGGGTTGTTTTTGGTGTTGGTTTTGGTTTTTTGGTTTTTTTTTTAATTGACCACTGACCAGTCTGTGTTTAAATTAACATAAGGGCATATTAACTTGCAGGATTTTCTTTAAAAAAAAAGGTTTAGATTTGACTCTCAGGTCTTAAGTGTTTCTAGTCTGATTTTAGTTAGTGCAATTTTGCATTCTTGGAGAGTAAGTATGATTGGCACAGAAAGCTGTTTTTTATTGTAAATGTTTAAAATGTTTTGTGGTGTTAAATGTATCTTTTTAAATTTTGGAATAGATGTAGTTCCTAAACAGATGATATTTTATTTCTTTTTCTTTAAGATGTCAGCAGCATGTAAATAAGATATGCTTTTTGGATGTAAATCTTAGAAATCCACAGTGAATGTAGGTTATTAATAAATAATTTAAATCTTGATGTTCAATATTGTGTACATACAGTAAAACTGCTTGGGTTTTTCTTCTTTTTTGCTCAAAGCCATAGGAATGTAACTGAAATTACCTAGATTTGAATGAACCTTCTAGTACAGTGTATTTTATTGTAAAGTTAAATGTTCATATTCCAGTAAAACTACTAATTTGATACTAAAACCTTGAATCATTGATTCTCAATTAGTGATTCAGGAGACCAAACTTTTAGGGATGAGGAGGTGGCTAAAAGTCAGGTTGGATGATAATAATTTTTTTCTTTTTATTAAATAGCAGTGTGGAATGGGTGGAATATACCTCGAATCAGCATTTTTCAAATTCATTTTTTCAGCTATTTCATGGCAGAAGTTAGGAAAGCATGAAGTCCATTTACAGGGTACCATTGTTCAGGATTGATACCGTTTCCACCTGAATATTCTTTTGAGGCTTGAGACTTTTGAGGGACTAGGGAAGTGTCTGTGCCTGACCTTGAAAATCGTGGTTCTAATTAAGCCTTTGTACCAATTGTTTTCTCATGTAAAATGTATTAATTTAAGGTAGCAGATATTTTTTAATCTTGTTCAGTTGCTTTGCATCTGTTGTCAGTTATTTACATCCAACACTTTGTCTCTATTTTCTACTTCCTTCTGTGACTTGAAAAAGTGAAATAAAATTTCACAATTACCACTACTTAGAAGAATGTTTAATATCTTTTGTATCTTCTTCCCAGCTCCCTTGCTGTAAGTCTCTTGAAATTCAGGACTTGTGAAACCATTGCTGTAAATCCACCTAGGAACAGTAGCAGTGAACAATTCAGTTTGTTTTAGCAGTGATTTAAACATGTCTTCTAGTTAATAGGGAATGTGTTAATGAACAATTAAAACTAAAAGGAATTAAATCTCCCAAAAGAAGCTGAAGGTATGTATTCACCCTTGTCTGCCATCAAACTGTGTTCACTTTCCTTTTTTCTGTAGTGATGTCACACAAAAATTACAGTTTCTGACTTCAGGCATTCTCTCTCCAGAAGGAACGGTCCTGCAGATAATGAGGGTGTGATCAGGTGGAACAGTTGCTTCCTTGGAAGCTGAAGATAATGAAAGTTTGTTAGTCTCTGGACCAGGAGCTAAAAATGAGATTTAGAAAAATCTTTCTGACCAGGTCACTTCCTCATATCCTTACAGTTTATCACACTATTTATGAATGTTTGCTTCCTTTGCCCTTTTTCTTGAAGGTATTAGAGTGAAATTCTGATCAGGTTAAAAATAATTGTATTAAAATAAAACTGATTGCTTGTTTCTACGTTGCTTGCTTACCTTCCTAAACTGTTCTCTATATAAGGAGGAAGCACAGCACACACAGGTGGAGAGCAAATTCTCAAGTTCAAACAATTCAAATTCTGATTGGAAACTAGAAAACCCAGATGTAGTTGGTTTCTGTCTTTGTTCTATTTTCTATTTTTTTGTTTATTTTTGAAAACACAAATGTAGGTATTAAGTGTGATGCTATTTTAGTTGCAAATGCATCTGAACCAGAACTGTATACTGAACAGAAAAAACAGAAATAATATTCAAAATATGTGACAGTATCTGGTAATGCTGAATGGGCCACAGCATTTACATGCCTTGTTATGTCATGAAAATGCATGTAGCTTCCCATTTAAACATCACTAAGTCATGTTTTTTGTTTGGTCATTTGGCTTTTTAAGAATGAATCATTAAATACATAAAATAGTAAGAAGTAAAAATTGCTTTTCTTCAGGTGTTTGTAATAAACATCTTTTTTATAAACAAGACATGCATTAGTTTATGTACTAGAATTCCCTCTGTGATATCTGTTACCTCAGACTCGTGCTTCTGTGTATGATTAAACAGTAAGTATGCAGGCTAAGTTTTATGCTAATTGGAAAAATCTATACAACTGTCTAAAATGGGTTTTAATTCTAAGTGCCAGAGGCTAAGAGGTGCTTTCTAACACTGTCCTATCTGATCTGTTCACAAAAGAGAGGCAAAGACAAGTGTTGCTCTGTAGATTTCCTACATTGTGGAGCAAGGCAAAATAGCATCTGGAATTCCTGCCTGTTTCTGGTCCTCAAGGCTCAAGTCTAATTGGCTCCTGTCTTTCCCTTGCACATTCTGATTCCAGTTCAGCACAGTTAAGAAGGGGTGTTCTCCTAAGGCCACCTGAACTGCCAAGTGGGACTGCACCAAATAACCCTGGGCAGCTGATTAATTAGTACTGGAGCTTTTTTGCCATGTGCAGTGTATGCAAGGGAAGAGGGCTGGGGAATCAAATCTGCTTCTCACATCAGCATTCCCTATCTATGCAGAAATGTTCTTTACAACTTAATGATTCTCTTAAAATTCTAGAGTTTTTCAAATATAAATTCCGATGTATGTGCAAGACAAGTTACAGAAATTTGGGCTTTTCATGAAAGATGTTTCTGAAAGGTATTGTATTTTTGTCAACAGGATTTTTCAGGTTGTCTTTTCAGGGTTCAAAGTGTGTACTGAGAGTGGCAAGGCTTAGTCTAGAAGTGTGACTTTTGGGAAGATGACACTTCAATCACAAAGTCATAGAACATGCTGAGTTGGAAGGGACCCATCAGGATCATCAAGTTCAACTCCTGCCCCTGCACAAGACACCCCAAGAATCCCACCCTGTGTCTGGAGAGCAGTGTCCAAACACTTCTTGTGTCCAAACACTTCTTGAGCTTTGTCAGGCTTGGTGCTGTGACCACTTCCCTGGGGAGCCTGTTCCAGTGCCCAAACACCTCTGGGTGAAAAACTTTTTCTAATACTCAGCTTAAACCTCACTGACACAACTTCAATTCCCTTGGGTCATGACACTGGTCACGAGAGAGAAGATATCGGTACCTGCCTCTCCTTTTCACTTCAGGAGAAAATTGGAGACTGCAGCGAGGTCTACCCTCAGTCCCCTCTTCTCCAGGCTGAACAGACCAAGTGACCTCAGCTGCTCCTCACAGGGCTTTCCCACCAGATCCTTCACCATCCTCATGGCCCTCCTTTGGACACTCTCTAATAGCTTTCTGTCATTTTTATATTCTGGCACCCAAAACTGCCTCCAGGACTGGAGGTGAGGCTGCCCCAGCTCAGAGCAGAGTGGGACAATCCCCTCCCTTGCCTGGCTGGTGATGCTGGGCCTGGTGCCCCCCAGGACAGGGTTGGCCCTCCTGGCTGCTGGCTCAGATTTAATTTCTGTTAATGAGTTGCTGGATTGGCAAAGTAGGTGAAAGATTGGTTTCCAGGAAGTGGCACCACATCTGTGATGGGATGCCACAGCACACAGTTGTTCATTTTGGAACAGTCTGATTTATGGTACAGCTGAATTTGTAGTCCAGTTTCAGATGACTACTTCTGACTTAGACTAAATCCCAAATATCCTCAGTAAATTTATATAATTAAAGATTAAGTCTTTTTTTCACATACTTGATTGTGACTGTTGCCCAACTTCTTCAGGGCCATTTAGAGAGAAGAGGATGCTTCCTGGTGTTGAAAACACTGAATGCCATTGTTACTGTGGAGTATGTTACTGTTCATTGTCGTTCTTTAGGAATATTTTTACTTGAAATGCAAGCAAAAACCATTCTGCCATTGCCAGTTAAATTAACCATTTACAGTGTTACATTTGAATACAATCCTTGCTTTAAAAAACATGATTTATGCAGAAAAATTATAACATCAATTGTGTTTGTTTGGGATTTAAAGTAGGTTTTAAAGCACGCCTGTTCAGATTTACAACTTTATATTCCAGGCAGTCAGTACTGTTACTGAGACAGCAACTCTTCAGAGTACAATGTTTACAAGTCTGACTAGGAGTTACTAGCATTGCCTAGTGTGGCAGAGAAACAGAGGAATCCAGATGTTCGCACAGAAATCATTCCAACCCTGTGGCAATTATATGGTGTAACTGATAGCAAAATTATATGCTAGAGAAAATTGACTAATTTGTACCATGCTAGCATGGAAGGTCACACCTAGTAAGTGCCATATCAATAAAAGAATAATAAGAAGAAGAATTCCTTGAACTCACAATCTAAATTTTATCTAGCTATGCTGCTACCTATATATATATATATAGTGCTATTTTATATATAAAGAACATGTTACTTTCTATTTAATAGCTGGAAACAAACAACAACAACAAAAAAAAAACTATGTGAAGATTGCTTTATCCAAAGGAAAACTCTAGATTTATCAATCACAACTGAGTAAATGAACTGTTACAATGGCATGTTAAGGAGCTGCAGTTTTAGATCTCAATAAGCCCTTCCAAAAATTAAGGGTGAAAAGCAAATATCTTAGTGCACAATGATCCGTTTGTTTGAGAGATTCCACTCCGTGATTATGAAGCTTTATAGGATAGGTGGTACTCTTAGGAAAATCTTAATATGCTTGGAATTATAGTTTATTACATTAAAACTAATCATTAGTTATTCATTCCAGGTTATCTGTCAATTGGATGTAGGTACCCAAATACCCAAATGTTAATATAAACAGTTGTGGCAAACAGAAGCTAAAATTAGTTCATCTAATTCCTAACTATCAAGACCAAAATAATTATCTTCCATCAGGTACGTTTTTATCTTCAATAAAAACAAAAATTGTCTCTAGGTAATTTGAAAATATATAGATACAGATTTATATATTTGCCAGATAATATACTGTCAGGTAGTATATCATATATTGTTAATTTGCAGCTGCTTGTGTTTGTGTTCTCAAGCAACAATGGGGCAGAGGAGACAAAGGTAATGGAGACACCACCATTTATTATTTTAATTTATTTTTTAACTAAAAAATTCTAGGTGCTCCAGGAACATGAGAGTGATGGATATGTGAAAATTATTGGAAGTTTCAATATAGATTAGTTTCCATATAAATCACATTTAGCAGAAGCCCCTGAATACTTTTGCATTTACCTCCGTTTGCCACCAAGGGACACTGTTTCTCTATAAATGAAGAGAAGCCTTGCAGGCTATGGGATTTTCCTTAGTCTTGAGATTCAGAATGTCTCAGTAATATTTAGATAATAATGTGAACTTGAAATGCCATGAAGTTGTTAAAAAAACCCTGGGTTTTGAGGTCCTAAAGTTAGTGCTATTTAAATGGAGTAGCTCATTTTCATTTAAGCAGCTACAAATATTTGAGTTTCTGTTTTAATGTGCATAAGTATTGCTTTACCTAAATAGAACTTCCTCAAAATATTTCTGCATGCTTTATTTAATTATTTATTGTTGTAATTTTATGTGGTCTTTTATTTTGATAGAAGTTGAAACACAGAGCCTTTTCATATTAAGCACCATACAGGCACAGGTGTTGCTCTGAAGAGCAGCAGGTGCTGCGTGTGGACATCTCTCAGCAAATGCTCCAGGTGTGGAGTCTGTTTCCTTTTATTTGTCAGAAGCCATCAGAAGGGTAAAACAGACTCATGCAAGTTAAAAGGTCATGTTCCTCTTTAAAATTCAAATTGTTACTTATTTGCTGTAATGCTAGGGAAGAAAAACCTGAGGAAGAGCAGGCTGGAATATGTTCTTAGTTTTCATTTGCTTGAGCTTTTTCTTGTTCTACTCATCTTCACAGCAAGAACAAGAATTAAGATAAGGAACTGAAAGCTTATCAGGATTATTCTCTTCAGGTTTTGAGTTGTCCTTTGGTTTCTTTTTTCTTTTTCCTTCTTTCCTTAGATGGGAAGGAATTAAATACAAGTTCAAGATTCATCTTGTAATCTCACTGTGTTAAGTGCAACATACATTCCTTTTCCTCTTTTTAAAATGGGTTGTTAAGGCTGTGTTATTGGAAAGTAACAATTGTGTGTATTTTCTAAGTAGTTTAACTGGCACTCAGTATTCTTTCTGCATATAATGGTTTCTAGTTTCAACATTTGCTAGAAGTAACACCAGAATTAAAAATACAGGTTTTGGCAAGAAAAATACATTTATTCTCTTGCAAACCTTTAAATTTGGTATTATATAGACTATGCTGTTTCTGTGAACCCTTTTAAGACTCTGTGGGGGTGAACAAAAAAGCACATTGATTTTTACCAAAAAAAGGAGAATATTTTTTTCTGTTAGGATATTTTACACATTTTTCTTTTAATTCAGGTTTCTTAGTATCAATGCAATAGCGCAGTTCATTTGTCCCAAAAACATTTCATTATTTTACTTAATTGAGATATTTCTAAATCTAATTAGNTTTGTCAGAACCTTGGAGGCTGTCAACAAGTCAGACACCACAGCAGTACATTGATCTGAAGAAGAACCCAGAAATGTTAGCCTCTGGTGGAGGGTTTGGGCCGGTATGTTTCCTAAAAACAAGTACCCACTAAAAAGAGTTTTACTTTCAAGACACCTGTCAAAAAATTTCAAATCTATCATCCCTCATTGTTGCATATCAAAGGTGCAGTTCATGCTTTTAATTGCATGTGTTTAATATTAATACTTTCCTGTGATGTGGCTGTGCTCTGAAAAATCTACAAGATTATCCCACTACAAGAATAGATTATTATTATTATTATTAAGGAAATATACAGTTATAAAATGTGGTACAGGGCTACATGGCAAAAAGATCTGATGAAATTTGGGTTCTTATCACATTGCCTGTGCCCAGATCTTCTGTACATCAGGCTGATATTACAGTAACAGTCACCTTATTACTTAAACTAGATTTTAAGGTTGGGATTTGTAAAAGTATTTACACTTGACTTGTTCTTTATATTTCCTGCTTGACTGATAAATGTGTTCATACATTCCTCCAGATTAAGCTGCTCACATTGTTCTGCTTGCCCCTCCTAAGTGTGAAAAAGGGCCAGGTCAAAAATACAGCCATGTTCTATGACTTCTGTAGACTTCCAAGAAACCAGTGTATTGTTAGAGGTTTGACAAGCTGCTTACTTGCTGCCATATTTTATTGATATTTAAGCTTGGCCACTGATAAGAATATTGGTGTCAACAAGACCTCTTAAGCAGCCTTTATGGGGCTCTTATACTAGATTAATCTGTTTTCAGAAAGTGTTTCTATTGAAGGAACAATGAGAGGCATCACAGGACTGCTCTTTGCCCCCCAGAAGTTAGGGTGACAAGTCCAGTGTATTTTAGCTGGTTTGTCAAGCTGGAAGGTGGGGTGTGTTAAATTGTTGTTGTTTATTTACTCATGTTTCTGATACAGCTTTCAGTAGTTTTTGAAGCTGAAATGAATTTGACTTGCAGTATCAAGGAGGCCTAGCTATGGCCATACTGCTCATTCTTGAGAAACTGGCTTCCTCAAGCAGATTATGAAGTCAGCATTCCAAATGCCCAAAAGGCAGTACAAAAGGGCTTTACCTGCAAGAATTTATAGCACTCTTTTCGTTTTTGTTTTGTTTTGTTTTGTGGTGGGTTTTTTTTTTTTTGTTTTTTGGGGTTTTTTTTTGTTTACAAAAACTGTGCTTTGGTTTGCTTAATTAGCCCAGAGATTCAGTACATCAGCTTTCCATGCATGTGTTTTTTGTTGGTTTTGAAGGGTTTTTTTAAGCATTTATTAGAGTTTATCTCTGTAGCACGAGCAGTGGGAAGAGTGAGAAGAGTGTTAGACCACTTAACAGCAGTGGTGACAAAGAGATGGAAGGTTGTGGTCCTTTGAGTTAGGAAAGACATGGAGAGGGGTGGCATCAGGATAATCTGTGTTTATCAGGCATAGTTTGAATATAACATCAGACTGAAACCTGGGACAGTCATTGCTGCTAATGTTGAAATTGGACCAGACCTCTGCTCGTGGTACAGGTGTTCAGAATCACATGTTTGCTGTAGAGTCAGAAGCAAATACAAGGCTTTTACACTGTGCTTGTTTACATCTGCAGAATGATCCCAGGAGACTGATTGTTTAGGTATACAAATGAACTATTTTATTCCTTGCTGCTTAAGCACCAAAGCTGTGTAGTTGCTTAGAACCAGGCCTTGATAAGGGAAGCTGTTTGAATAAGTATTTTATTTTAAAGTATTAAAGCTGGGAAATATTACAAATATTCAGCGAATGGTTATTCCATGCACTTCAGATGAACTATTCCTTAAGTGGAGCCAATATTCAGAAATTATGTATTAAATGTAGAAGCTGAAGTTTTACTTGAGGAAATTGCAACTGATTTTAAAAACTGTAGCAACTTCTTAATTGTGGATAAGTTGACTGAGAATGAAGGAGAAGGAAGTTGTTTAAAATGTTTTTCTCTTCCTTCTTCCCCTAGGTGGCTGATGATGGTTATGGTGTTTCTTACATGATCTTGGGTGAAAATTTCATTCATTTCCATGTCTCCAGCAAAATATCTTGTTCTGAGACGGTAAGAGTCAGTCCTTTCCTATAGTTTAATAAATCTCTTCTGCTGGGTGCTTATAGATTCGTTCTTCTCATTGTCTAAAATATATAGTAGAACTTGCAACCTACTGTTATGAGGTGTATTTTTCTTTCTCAATATATGGTGTTCTGCTGGAGTTTTTTTGTCTCCAGTTGTATAAATTTAATTGTTTCATGAACCAAGGGTACCATATTCCATTTCACTTATGCTTTCAAACATAAAGAAAATATTTGGCCCAGGATCATCTTTATGCATGTGCAGTTCCCTGCAACTCATGTGAAATGACCACATGTGTCCCCTAAACAGAAAGATGGGCATATCTTGGTTTTTCTTATTACAGTTTTGATTGGTTTGTCTCAGGCTACATCTGTAAAGACAAAATAAAATGTATGCTATCTATTTAAGCCTTCCTGGTTTAAATAATACTGAATGAAGCTGACCCATAAATTACAATCCGTGCTTAAGAAACGTAACTAATCAAAAATTTATTAAAATAACACCCAATATTAGAGTATAGTAGGTGTCATATGTTGAATATCCTGCTGTTGTGGAGGTGTGCTTTGAGTTCAATTAATCCTTGCCCTTTATATTGTTATGGCCTTCCTAAATATACTGATTTCATTCAGGATTACATAGCTGACCTAGTTTTCCTCTTTTGACCTTGTCCAGGAGATCATGGTGCTTCTGGTTAATCTTTAAAGATTAGGAAATACAACTTTGTTTTTTTAATAGTTGAAATTGTTCTTCAGATGCCTGTTAGCTCGTACTTTAAATTTCGCTCTGTTCTTTTTACTTATTAATCGAGTCAAAAGTCCATACAGAAAAGGCAGTATTTTATGTGTGTGGCCTTGATATTAGTAGGGTCATTGTAGTAGATCCCTGTAATGCAGGTAATAATTTAAATTTGGAATATGAATTTCTTTCTTGTACCATTCACCTAGCACTTAGAATAAACAGAACAAGTGTCTGTTTTGTTTACACTTAGAAAGTTGTTATTTTCATTTTCAATACTTTCTTCAATGGCAAATGATTCAGCATTTCTGATAGGAACTCAAATAAAAATAATTTTTCTGCTCTTTCAATACTTCTTGGCCATTACTCATACACTCACTGAACATTCCCTTGTTTTATGAAAATAAGCTTTTGCAAAATTTTGTTGGAAAAGCAGTATCAAAACCCAGCAATTTTAGAGCAGCAGAAAGCTATGCATGCATCTGATTTTAAAAGGATATGATCTCATTTGTGACTGTAGGAAAGTAAATGCATAATGAAGAACTCATTGGTCAGTGACAGCATGAACCTGGATTAATCTGTATAGTGTTAAAATTTCTGTTATAAAAATCCCCATTCTATGGTAAAATACATGCTTGAATTCCATAAGCTCCAAAACTACAAAATATTAGAAAGTTTTTCCTTTTGCCTGAAAAACAACTGTTGATGGGCAGTACAAGTATTTGGTTTTTGTTTGTTTGTTTTTAAAGGATTCTCATCGTTTTGGAAAGAACATCCAGAAAGCAATGGTTGACATCATGGGTTTATTTAACCTTAGTAAAAACTGTACAAAGTGATCTGCTTTCCTGGTGCCAAGCAAGCTCCTCTTGGTGGGATGAGAACTCTTCTGCACAGGGAACAAGAGCAAGGTTTGTCGAAGAGTAGCTGGAGAAGAAACTGAGTCATCACCTTCTTGATCACCTATTAAAGCCTTAGCAGTATATTAAATGTGTCTTTTTTTGTTGTGGTTTGTTTTTGGGGTTTTTTTTTGTCAGTAGTATGGAAGAGCTTATTTCTACAAAGGATGACTTTTAAAATTTTCTATGTTTCTAGGGAGGAAGCATAGTATCATTGCATGAAGTCATGTATATTCTAACTTCTGCAGTTTTCTCTTAATTTGCATACACTTTCTCTCTTTTTTTTTTTTTTTTACTTTAAATTAATTTACTTGTTTCCAGAATCAAAGGGATAAAACACACCGACTTAAATACTAGAAAAAGTTAGATTTGCTATGTATTAATAGCAGGATATTCTTCAATGTATCAATGCTGCTTAATGTAAATGAGTGACAAACTTGTGGCCATTTGCCTTCCTTGGTTTCTTTTTAGAGGTAAATTGTGTAAAACATACCAAAAAATCCCTGCTGTAACCTACCTTAACACACTAAGTTGGGGAAATTTTATGGTTTTTGCAAAGAAGGAAAAAAAAAAAAAGAAACCCAACTACTGGATAGTACAAAGTGTCCCCTCATTAGAAAGTATCACATTTTTCTTACTGCTTACAAGACTGTTCATGATGTTGATTTTATTTCTGTATAAATAAATGGACCTGTGTGCTTGTTCATGCAAGTGCCTTAGAAAAACAAAGATCCTTAGCCCAGGAAAAAGGCACATGCTGGCAGTTGTTTCAGTGGTAAGAGAGGTAAAGCTGTAGTAATGCAGACCTGGTTTTCAAATTGCAAAATAGGATGAAGCGGCATAAGCAGATGTGAATATGTTGCCAATAGTGCAGTCAGGTTTGAAGCTCTAATGAAATGCTCTAAATTTATAATGAATTGCTTAAATAGCAAAGGTCGCTCCTTGGGAAGGGCAGGACTAACTTTGTTTGGAATTAACAGATATTCACGTTTGCTTTGGTGAATGGAATTGGTGTCACTCGGGTTTCTGGGTGCTGGGAAATGTTAACAGGGTTGGATGCAACGTGGTGGAAAGTCTGCAAAGCAAGGCTGCCTGTGTAGGCTGATGGATTGCAGTTTGCCTGCTTTCAGCCTGGAAGGACCACTACTGCAGTGCCAGCCATCTGCATGAGAAGGGCAAACTGCTAAAGCCATGGGAAATAGCTCCAGAGTGAGAAAATCATGGCCTTCTCAACCCTCTCCTGGGAGATGCTCTTGGTCAAGCAGTTTCTAGAGGATACCGGTAGGGAGGGGAAAGCTTTTGCACTCAAAAAGGAACATGATGTTTCCAAGTGCAGAAATAAAATGGCTGCTACCAAATGGAGTAATTTTTGCATGATGCTTCTCTGCCCTGGGCTTTATAGGTGTGGTACCTCTTTTACATCCTGCAGTGCAGTAAAGTATACTTGTTAGTACAACCATTTTTTTTGTTATTATTATTTTATATAAGGTACATGATGGTTACTAATACAGTGCATGATGCTCCCGAGCTCTGCTGAGTTTGAAAAACCCTTGGAGCGGATATAAACCTTCTCATTAGACTTCAAAAGTTTCTGGCCAGTATTTCTAACTTTCTCCTTTTGTTTATTTTTACTCTGATTTTTAGCTATTAAAACACCTGTGTATGTATGCTTGGAGTGGGAACCCTCAAAAATCCAAGATGCATACTTAAGCGACTGCATGCTTACATAAATGTGGGAATCCTCACAGGAACTGATTAAAGACACTCATTATTTGATTAGGGTACAGTGTGTGGGAAAGGACACTTTGAAATAAGCCTTACTGCATCTGGCAGGCCTGGCACTTATCAAGCTACTGCAACAAATTTATAGTGATCTATTTTTGGAGATGCAGAAATAATGCACTGGGGTTTCTGGGGGTTGTTTTTGGTGTTGGTTTTGGTTTTTTGGTTTTTTTTTTAATTGACCACTGACCAGTCTGTGTTTAAATTAACATAAGGGCATATTAACTTGCAGGATTTTCTTTAAAAAAAAAGGTTTAGATTTGACTCTCAGGTCTTAAGTGTTTCTAGTCTGATTTTAGTTAGTGCAATTTTGCATTCTTGGAGAGTAAGTATGATTGGCACAGAAAGCTGTTTTTTATTGTAAATGTTTAAAATGTTTTGTGGTGTTAAATGTATCTTTTTAAATTTTGGAATAGATGTAGTTCCTAAACAGATGATATTTTATTTCTTTTTCTTTAAGATGTCAGCAGCATGTAAATAAGATATGCTTTTTGGATGTAAATCTTAGAAATCCACAGTGAATGTAGGTTATTAATAAATAATTTAAATCTTGATGTTCAATATTGTGTACATACAGTAAAACTGCTTGGGTTTTTCTTCTTTTTTGCTCAAAGCCATAGGAATGTAACTGAAATTACCTAGATTTGAATGAACCTTCTAGTACAGTGTATTTTATTGTAAAGTTAAATGTTCATATTCCAGTAAAACTACTAATTTGATACTAAAACCTTGAATCATTGATTCTCAATTAGTGATTCAGGAGACCAAACTTTTAGGGATGAGGAGGTGGCTAAAAGTCAGGTTGGATGATAATAATTTTTTTCTTTTTATTAAATAGCAGTGTGGAATGGGTGGAATATACCTCGAATCAGCATTTTTCAAATTCATTTTTTCAGCTATTTCATGGCAGAAGTTAGGAAAGCATGAAGTCCATTTACAGGGTACCATTGTTCAGGATTGATACCGTTTCCACCTGAATATTCTTTTGAGGCTTGAGACTTTTGAGGGACTAGGGAAGTGTCTGTGCCTGACCTTGAAAATCGTGGTTCTAATTAAGCCTTTGTACCAATTGTTTTCTCATGTAAAATGTATTAATTTAAGGTAGCAGATATTTTTTAATCTTGTTCAGTTGCTTTGCATCTGTTGTCAGTTATTTACATCCAACACTTTGTCTCTATTTTCTACTTCCTTCTGTGACTTGAAAAAGTGAAATAAAATTTCACAATTACCACTACTTAGAAGAATGTTTAATATCTTTTGTATCTTCTTCCCAGCTCCCTTGCTGTAAGTCTCTTGAAATTCAGGACTTGTGAAACCATTGCTGTAAATCCACCTAGGAACAGTAGCAGTGAACAATTCAGTTTGTTTTAGCAGTGATTTAAACATGTCTTCTAGTTAATAGGGAATGTGTTAATGAACAATTAAAACTAAAAGGAATTAAATCTCCCAAAAGAAGCTGAAGGTATGTATTCACCCTTGTCTGCCATCAAACTGTGTTCACTTTCCTTTTTTCTGTAGTGATGTCACACAAAAATTACAGTTTCTGACTTCAGGCATTCTCTCTCCAGAAGGAACGGTCCTGCAGATAATGAGGGTGTGATCAGGTGGAACAGTTGCTTCCTTGGAAGCTGAAGATAATGAAAGTTTGTTAGTCTCTGGACCAGGAGCTAAAAATGAGATTTAGAAAAATCTTTCTGACCAGGTCACTTCCTCATATCCTTACAGTTTATCACACTATTTATGAATGTTTGCTTCCTTTGCCCTTTTTCTTGAAGGTATTAGAGTGAAATTCTGATCAGGTTAAAAATAATTGTATTAAAATAAAACTGATTGCTTGTTTCTACGTTGCTTGCTTACCTTCCTAAACTGTTCTCTATATAAGGAGGAAGCACAGCACACACAGGTGGAGAGCAAATTCTCAAGTTCAAACAATTCAAATTCTGATTGGAAACTAGAAAACCCAGATGTAGTTGGTTTCTGTCTTTGTTCTATTTTCTATTTTTTTGTTTATTTTTGAAAACACAAATGTAGGTATTAAGTGTGATGCTATTTTAGTTGCAAATGCATCTGAACCAGAACTGTATACTGAACAGAAAAAACAGAAATAATATTCAAAATATGTGACAGTATCTGGTAATGCTGAATGGGCCACAGCATTTACATGCCTTGTTATGTCATGAAAATGCATGTAGCTTCCCATTTAAACATCACTAAGTCATGTTTTTTGTTTGGTCATTTGGCTTTTTAAGAATGAATCATTAAATACATAAAATAGTAAGAAGTAAAAATTGCTTTTCTTCAGGTGTTTGTAATAAACATCTTTTTTATAAACAAGACATGCATTAGTTTATGTACTAGAATTCCCTCTGTGATATCTGTTACCTCAGACTCGTGCTTCTGTGTATGATTAAACAGTAAGTATGCAGGCTAAGTTTTATGCTAATTGGAAAAATCTATACAACTGTCTAAAATGGGTTTTAATTCTAAGTGCCAGAGGCTAAGAGGTGCTTTCTAACACTGTCCTATCTGATCTGTTCACAAAAGAGAGGCAAAGACAAGTGTTGCTCTGTAGATTTCCTACATTGTGGAGCAAGGCAAAATAGCATCTGGAATTCCTGCCTGTTTCTGGTCCTCAAGGCTCAAGTCTAATTGGCTCCTGTCTTTCCCTTGCACATTCTGATTCCAGTTCAGCACAGTTAAGAAGGGGTGTTCTCCTAAGGCCACCTGAACTGCCAAGTGGGACTGCACCAAATAACCCTGGGCAGCTGATTAATTAGTACTGGAGCTTTTTTGCCATGTGCAGTGTATGCAAGGGAAGAGGGCTGGGGAATCAAATCTGCTTCTCACATCAGCATTCCCTATCTATGCAGAAATGTTCTTTACAACTTAATGATTCTCTTAAAATTCTAGAGTTTTTCAAATATAAATTCCGATGTATGTGCAAGACAAGTTACAGAAATTTGGGCTTTTCATGAAAGATGTTTCTGAAAGGTATTGTATTTTTGTCAACAGGATTTTTCAGGTTGTCTTTTCAGGGTTCAAAGTGTGTACTGAGAGTGGCAAGGCTTAGTCTAGAAGTGTGACTTTTGGGAAGATGACACTTCAATCACAAAGTCATAGAACATGCTGAGTTGGAAGGGACCCATCAGGATCATCAAGTTCAACTCCTGCCCCTGCACAAGACACCCCAAGAATCCCACCCTGTGTCTGGAGAGCAGTGTCCAAACACTTCTTGTGTCCAAACACTTCTTGAGCTTTGTCAGGCTTGGTGCTGTGACCACTTCCCTGGGGAGCCTGTTCCAGTGCCCAAACCCCTCTGGGTGAAAAACTTTTTCTAATACTCAGCTTAAACCTCACTGACACAACTTCAATTCCCTTGGGTCATGACACTGGTCACGAGAGAGAAGATATCGGTACCTGCCTCTCCTTTTCACTTCAGGAGAAAATTGGAGACTGCAGCGAGGTCTACCCTCAGTCCCCTCTTCTCCAGGCTGAACAGACCAAGTGACCTCAGCTGCTCCTCACAGGGCTTTCCCACCAGATCCTTCACCATCCTCATGGCCCTCCTTTGGACACTCTCTAATAGCTTTCTGTCATTTTTATATTCTGGCACCCAAAACTGCCTCCAGGACTGGAGGTGAGGCTGCCCCAGCTCAGAGCAGAGTGGGACAATCCCCTCCCTTGCCTGGCTGGTGATGCTGGGCCTGGTGCCCCCCAGGACAGGGTTGGCCCTCCTGGCTGCTGGCTCAGATTTAATTTCTGTTAATGAGTTGCTGGATTGGCAAAGTAGGTGAAAGATTGGTTTCCAGGAAGTGGCACCACATCTGTGATGGGATGCCACAGCACACAGTTGTTCATTTTGGAACAGTCTGATTTATGGTACAGCTGAATTTGTAGTCCAGTTTCAGATGACTACTTCTGACTTAGACTAAATCCCAAATATCCTCAGTAAATTTATATAATTAAAGATTAAGTCTTTTTTTCACATACTTGATTGTGACTGTTGCCCAACTTCTTCAGGGCCATTTAGAGAGAAGAGGATGCTTCCTGGTGTTGAAAACACTGAATGCCATTGTTACTGTGGAGTATGTTACTGTTCATTGTCGTTCTTTAGGAATATTTTTACTTGAAATGCAAGCAAAAACCATTCTGCCATTGCCAGTTAAATTAACCATTTACAGTGTTACATTTGAATACAATCCTTGCTTTAAAAAACATGATTTATGCAGAAAAATTATAACATCAATTGTGTTTGTTTGGGATTTAAAGTAGGTTTTAAAGCACGCCTGTTCAGATTTACAACTTTATATTGCAGGCAGTCAGTACTGTTACTGAGACAGCAACTCTTCAGAGTACAAATGTTTACAAGTCTGACTAGGAGTTACTAGCATTGCCTAGTGTGGCAGAGGAACAGAGGAATCCAGATGTTCGCACAGAAATCATTCCAACCCTGTGGCAATTATATGGTGTAACTGATAGCAAAATTATATGCTAGAGAAAATTGACTAATTTGTACCATGCTAGCATGGAAGGTCACACCTAGTAAGTGCCATATCAATAATAAGAAGAAGAATTCCTTGAACTCACAATCTAAATTTTATCTAGCTATGCTGCTACCTATATATATATATATAGTGCTATTTTATATATAAAGAACATGTTACTTTCTATTTAATAGCTGGAAACAAACAACAACAACAAAAAAAAAACTATGTGAAGATTGCTTTATCCAAAGGAAAACTCTAGATTTATCAATCACAACTGAGTAAATGAACTGTTACAATGGCATGTTAAGGAGCTGCAGTTTTAGATCTCAATAAGCCCTTCCAAAAATTAAGGGTGAAAAGCAAATATCTTAGTGCACAATGATCCGTTTGTTTGAGAGATTCCACTCCGTGATTATGAAGCTTTATAGGATAGGTGGTACTCTTAGGAAAATCTTAATATGCTTGGAATTATAGTTTATTACATTAAAACTAATCATTAGTTATTCATTCCAGGTTATCTGTCAATTGGATGTAGGTACCCAAATACCCAAATGTTAATATAAACAGTTGTGGCAAACAGAAGCTAAAATTAGTTCATCTAATTCCTAACTATCAAGACCAAAATAATTATCTTCCATCAGGTACGTTTTTATCTTCAATAAAAACAAAAATTGTCTCTAGGTAATTTGAAAATATATAGATACAGATTTATATATTTGCCAGATAATATACTGTCAGGTAGTATATCATATATTGTTAATTTGCAACTGCTTGTGTTTGTGTTCTCAAGCAACAATGTGGCAGAGGAGACAAAGGTAATGGAGACACCACCACTTATTATTTTAATTTATTTTTTAACTAAAAAATTCTAGGCGCTCCAGGAACATGAGAGTGATGGATATGTGAAAATTATTGGAAGTTTCAATATAGATTATTTTCCATATAAATCACATTTAGCAGAAGCCCCTGAATACTTTTGCATTTACCTCCGTTTGCCACCAAGGGACACTGTTTCTCTATAAATGAAGAGAAGCCTTGCAGGCTATGGGATTTTCCTTAGTCTTGAGATTCAGAATGTCTCAGTAATATTTAGATAATAATGTGAACTTGAAATGCCATGAAGTTGTTAAAAAAACCCTGGGTTTTGAGGTCCTAAAGTTAGTGCTATTTAAATGGAGTAGCTCATTTTCATTTAAGCAGCTACAAATATTTGAGTTTCTGTTTTAATGTGCATAAGTATTGCTTTACCTAAATAGAACTTCCTCAAAATATTTCTGCATGCTTTATTTAATTATTTATTGTTGTAATTTTATGTGGTCTTTTATTTTGATAGAAGTTGAAACACAGAGCCTTTTCATATTAAGCACCATACAGGCACAGGTGTTGCTCTGAAGAGCAGCAGGTGCTGCGTGTGGACATCTCTCACCAAATGCTCCAGGTGTGGAGTCTGTTTCCTTTTATTTGTCAGAAGCCATCAGAAGGGTAAAACAGACTCATGCAAGTTAAAAGGTCATGTTCCTCTTTAAAATTCAAATTGTTACTTATTTGCTGTAATGCTAGGGAAGAAAAACCTGAGGGAGAGCAGGCTGGAATATGTTCTTAGTTTTCATTTGCTTGAGCTTTTTCTTGTTCTACTCATCTTCACAGCAAGAACAAGAATTAAGATAAGGAACTGAAAGCTTATCAGGATTATTCTCTTCAGGTTTTGAGTTGTCCTTTGGTTTCTTTTTTCTTTTTCCTTCTTTCCTTAGATGGGAAGGAATTAAATACAAGTTCAAGATTCATCTTGTAATCTCACTGTGTTAAGTGCAACATACATTCCTTTTCCTCTTTTTAAAATGGGTTGTTAAGGCTGTGTTATTGGAAAGTAACAATTGTGTGTATTTTCTAAGTAGTTTAACTGGCACTCAGTATTCTTTCTGCATATAATGGTTTCTAGTTTCAACATTTGCTAGAAGTAACACCAGAATTAAAAATACAGGTTTTGGCAAGAAAAATACATTTATTCTCTTGCAAACCTTTAAATTTGGTATTATATAGACTATGCTGTTTCTGTGAACCCTTTTAAGACTCTGTGGGGGTGAACAAAAAAGCACATTGATTTTTACCAAAAAAAGGAGAATATTTTTTTCTGTTAGGAT